ATAGACTTTTAAAGATCTGAAATATCCAGTATCCGTAACTTGCTTGTTAAGCGTCACGAACAGTATGATATAATGTAAAATGATCCTACTCATTTTGTTAGAAACTTCATTTTAACAAAATCACTCTGATAGAAATTAGTTTACATTTTAAAATATCACTAAAATAAAAACAGTTTAATATCTGTAAACAAAATATAAGGAGTAACATATGTTCCATATTTTCTATTCATATAATATTAATAATAGATATATATTCGATACAAACGTGTATAGATCTTCAGCCTGTGGTAATCGACTTTTCGAACACCTTGTAGATTCTAGTACTATAAAGCAAATAACAAACCAATGCAGCTACAGCGCGATATAATCTGAACTGATAAAGCAGTGGATAAAATCGTTGTAAGGCCGGTCGAAGTGTCATGGTGAATTAGAGTATTTATAGTTCGCAACCCATTGCCGCAAAAAGGCCTCCGTATTTTGGGGAATCGAAGTATATTTGATTGGCTGCCTTTTCTCTTCGTAAGATTCTCAAAGAAACAATAAAATCATTGCAAAGAGAAAAAAAAAAGAAATACATAGGTAATATGTCGATCGTTTGGCAGAAACACAGGTACTGTATTGTTTTTCCCTTACAGTGATTTTATTTTATTTTTTAGTGTTTATAGTACGTTCATATTACCGCAAAACATTTGAAATGTGTCGTCTTAAAAATAAATGATGGAGATTAGCTACGCAGAGAGAAAACGTAATGAGGAAGTGTTGAAAGGTACTAATAAAGACATATTACTTCTGGATATATATAAGACACGGAAGATGTGCTTTTGGGTATATAACTAGATCTCATGGAAGTTTGGTAGGGATCCTGACGAGTAAAATCGAAGGAAGAAGAGCGAAAGGAAGGCAAAAATTCACGTGGCTCAAGAAAATTAGGAAAAGTCTTGGAGATGAGAAACTTAGGAAGATTGGTGCTGGCAGAGATGGATAATAAATGCCGGAGAACAATTGTATTCGACTCGTAAAATTAGGGAGGGCACCACTTTTTCATAGCATGTATAGCTAAAAGTTATGTATCAAAACTTGCTTCTTTTAATTCAATGCATTACGTTGTGTGTATGCAGTATTTGTAGTTAAAATGGCTCAAGATTCAATCTCGTAGCTTTGTTTGTTTTTGAATTTCGCGCAAAGCTACGCGAGGGCTATCTGCGCTAGCCATCCCTAATTTAGCAGTGTAAGACTAGAGGGAAAGTAGCTAGTCATCACAACCCACCACTAACTCTTGAGCTACTCTTTTATCAACGAATAGTGGAATTGACCGTCACATTATAACGCCCACACGGCTGAAAGAGCAAGCATGTTTGGTGGGATGGGGATTCGAACCAGCAATTCTCAGATTGCGAGTCAAGTGCCCTAACCACCTGTCCATGCCGGGCCCAATCTCATAGGGAGAGCATGTCCCTAGACTTACAGCGCTAAAATTCGGAGTTTGATTAACCAGGGTGGACAGAACGCAGATAGCTCATTGTGTAGACTTGCGCTAAAACAAACAACTCAATAAACTAAAGCCTTAAGACTTTTTTCACTCTTATCACACTAACATTATAATAGAATTCAATTACACAAGAATCCACAAACGCCAAACCTTACACACACACAAAAAAAGACACAGTCTTTTACATCGCAAAACTAAAGAATATATTTTAATCCGCAAAAAATAAGTTAAAAATCAATAACAAAAAAAGTTAAACTTGTGTGAACAATCTTGTATAACACATTTCATATTGTTACGTATCTGCTCGTTTGATCATTTCCGGTATAAATTCTTTCCTAGGAACTTCAGCGATACAAGTCCTTTCTTAATTA